GAGCACGTAATTCCTCTCTTGGTGATAACTTTTGAATTAGCTTCATTTAACAGTCTTGCGACTGCACGTGTGCAAGCAGAGTGTATGTCATGTAAGCACAACTAAATATTTGTGATCAATCGTGAGCATTGGTCAACAGCGTCTCGTCAAATCTTTTTTGGCACTATTTCTGTTTTTGAGTGTCCATGGACCTGGTGCAAAACCTTCTCATAAAATAATAAAAACTGTCCATGGACCTGGTCCATGACGGGGGGTCCATGGACCCGGTCCATGAAAGTGGTCCATAGACCCGGTCCAAAGAGGGGGTCCATGGACCCCTGGTCCATGTTTTGTCATCACCACATTTATCTCGAAACTTTGTGGCCGGGTATTCTGAGGTTGTTCCCCCCTCACTGAATCAAGAAACCCCTTAATAATTTAAAAACTCGAATTTAAGAGTGACGTGAAAGGGGAGCGAGGAAATCCTGTTTAATTCGAGTAGAATTGAATCGCGTCGTCATCCCCAAGCAAGCTCGACTTAACGCCATTAAGAGAGTTCTTGTCATTCAGCAAACTACGGCATCGTGCAAAGTTCGTTGAGCAACAAATGTTGCACGCTGTTGAACCGTTTGTCACCAGCTTTCCACAAATCTTGAAATAGCAACTCGAAAAATCTTACCAAGATGTCAGCATTTCGAGAGAATCGTGCCTTGCGCTGGTATTTCTTAATGATAGATTTCTGCTTCGCTCGAGGAAAACTTCTTTTCATATTTCTGCAGTAATCTAAAACGCTTCCTTCTTTGTGTTGTTGGTTGTGATTCCCAAGAAAATGGCCGCAAGTCTCTCAAACTGACAACACTCAAAAGTTTGTCTTTCCCTCCACTTTATATGAGCCTGCAATCACTACTAAATGTACGTCGTGTAAATGCTTTTTTACTGTCCCGGACCGAGGAGAATGCGTAATGGCGTTTGAGTTCAACTTTGACGACGAGATATTCCAAGAATCAAACTGCAGAACAAAAGTAGTTTCAGGGATTTACAGCCCGAAGCTATGCGATCCTGAGGTTTGTTTTTATTGGGTATTTAAATTATTTTTACTCAAGGCTGCTCTGATATGGCCACCGCCAAATAAGCCTCCCAGCTCTCAAATAAGCCTCCCCCTTTTTTCGAGGGAAGAAAGTTAATAAATCCCCCTCTCTTTTAACCCACCCCCTCCCCTTTCCTAATTATTCCTCAGTAATAAACGATAGGCTGTGTTAATCAATCACGACTGTAAAACTTCGTGTGGACTGATGTGGTATGATTTAAGGTTAAGCTTATTCACCAGCTGGAAGTTCGGATTTGTTTTTGATCCTCGGCTGCATGACCTCTAACTTCTCATACTTGAACTTTTCTTCTTTGTATTCCAGTTCTTAATGGAGAAGTGAACGTCTTTTGTAAATTAAACAAGCCCCCATCTCAAATAAGCCCCCCCCCACACCTCTGTATAAACCCCCCCTCCCCTCACAGTAAGCTATGATATTAAAGTTTAATTTTTTGTGTGTGATCATATGATAATTGAATCAAAGGAAAGTAAACTTAAAATCTGAACCTTTATCTTTATTCAAAAGGTTAAATAGTCAGTGTTCAGTTGAACAAACTGATCTTGTACCTTAACAGAAACCTTCAATGGGCTGATAAAATGTTTAGTCAAAGAGGTTGCCATTCATTGTTTCAAATCTAAGAACCAAACTGCTTCAGGCTTTTTGTTCTCTTTTTCAAATGTATTGGGATTAAAATAAATTTGAATAAAAACCAAACACAAAGTGCACGGACTGGTGGTATAACTGTAGTTGAATGATATTACAACACCCTTTTATTTATCATTGTGGAAATGTCATTGTGGTTCTTGTGGTAGAAGTGACAGTGAGATGATATATAGTAGACTTAACCATTTCCCTGTTCCTTTTTTTGCCAGTGGTTCATGCAATTCTCTGCTAACGATGACCCAGCAGAGAAACAAAATATCAGGAAGTTTCAAGGAGATCTTTTGTACCATAAACATAAGTATGAACAAGCCCTTGTCATGTACCAAGAATCTCGGCAAAGCTTGCCATCAAACAACACAGTGCTGGACAGGGAACTATTGGAATCAATGGCCATGTGTTTATTAAAACTGGGCAAATTTAATGAGGCTTTGACTCTTGTCAAGGAAACAATAGTAAGATAGTCATTTTTTAAAAGTCAGTTGTGATACTTGGTATAAATATAGTCTTCCTTGAATCTGGATTTCAAGTAACAGGCATGATCAAAGGATTTTTTGGGGTTTCAAATTTTGGATTCTGGGATTTTTTTGGGTAGGAAAATTGGGCAAGTTTTTTTGGGTGGCTTGATTTAAGTAGGGATTTTGTAGGTGTTCAAAACAAATCTGAAGATTTATGCCTGCGTATCCTGGCTGTGTAGTTCTGCAATTAAAGTACAGCCAAATAAAGTATAACATGTTATTTATATCATTTAATACTTTCTGGAAATTTTTAAGGTTTCCAATTTCAGCACGGAGTTTTTTGTAGGTTAAGTTTTGGTCCAGGGATTTTTTGGGGTTTAATTTTTGCGCCCCTTCGATGATCCCCATCACTTGAAATCCAGAGTATCCCCCAGGGGACTAGGTGTTGTGCTTTGTTGCAATATTTCCTATTTTTTTTGTATGTTTCAATAACTAGTGAAGTATATAATAGTAAAGCAAGCCTGATATGGGTGATGGTTTGAGACAATTCTAGTAAATGCAGCCATGTGAAAATTACAGCAAAGTAGATGGTGATGCTAGATGTAGATTACTTGCCAGAGCTCCACAAGGTGCTGCAAGGTGCTTAAAAATCCTGGGTACGAAATAATTACCTACAGTATGCTGGTAGAATTATGCTAAAACATTGTCTGATAATAAGAATTAGAAACATATCAAAGATCAAAGATAATATCAAATAAGTGGTATTGCATGAGTGATTGAGAGTGAACAGTCACACAAACTTATCCTTGATCTTGGATTGAACTGGATTGGATTTGAATGAGCGAGTTGTCGAGTGAGTTGTGAGCAGTATTAACTCTCTCTAATATCATGACAAATAGTCTAGTTTTTTTTTGTATTTGTCTAGTTTGTAGTAAATTATGTAGCCTGGCCTGCCTCGAATAGCCTTACTAACTGCAGGCCAGTCCCAATGTATCTTTTGTTACATTTCCAAATTTGATTTAAATCTTCTCATTCCAGCCTTTGTTGCTGGCTAACAATAGGAAGGTTTCTGCCAATACCCTCTACTTACCCTAAGAGAGATAAGTAAGGCTGCTTTCTGGTTTTTATTATGCCAAATTGCATTGAGTATTTTAGCCTGTCCCTTGAATATCTGCATATTCATTTTGAAATATATTCGATTGTTTCCATGACAGGATAACAACCAACATAATGATTCTTCCAGGTGGCAATTGCTATCTCAGATATACAGAGTCATGGGAAATATACAAGGTATTTAAAACTAGCAATGATAGGCAATGATAGAAGATGTGGTTCCAGAAAATATACATACCCTCCCCCCCAACCCCCAACATTTTAGTGCTTTCACGTCCGTTCACTGAGCATCACTATTTGCTACCTTCACATTGCTGGAATTTACACATTTTGATATGTTTCATGTTTTCTCAGTGGTTATTCGGGGTAGTAACTCATAAAAAATGTGATGAGACGAGAGTTCTTTCGTTCTCATTTCTTGCTCGATCTTCAGAAGACCCGGCTACCTCGCTAATAAGATTACTTTTGCAATCGTGACCATGTTCATGAAACCTAGCGCATCAGCATGTGTTAGTGACTATTTTGGTCCCTAAATGAGAATCAACCTGAAGAAATTGACAAAATGTGTAGACAAATAATCAGCAAGAAAGGAACCTTGTAAGTTTCTGTTTTGTTTTTTTTTTGCTATCGTTTGCAAAGTTGTTTATATAAGCAAGTGAAACTTAAGTTCTCTTCATAATGTTCGCGTCGGAGGAAGCACAAAAACGTAGAACAATCAATGTTGTAAACTTTGCAACCCAAATGTTTAAGCTTATAGGCTTACATAAAAACAAGACAAACATAACTTGCAAATTTGATGGCCAAGAATTTTAAAAGTTAGGTGAATAATAAGCTTGACAAAAGTTTACTTTGTTGTAATAAAACTCTACCATGATTTTGTAAATGAGTTAGTATTCACTTTCTGTTTTTTTTAAAGTACCAAAACCACTTTGACATGAAGAAGTCCCCGTTTAAATATTCCGGAAATTCCTGGGGGGAAGGGGGGGGGGTCATCAAAGACCCCCTTGGAACGGAAAATCCTGGGGGGTGGGGGAGTGCATATCAAAGAGTCTTCTGTCACGGAGGTATGGATATTTTCTGGAACCACACCTTCCAATAAAATTGCACTGAATTAGTGAGAGTGAAGAGATTCCAGCCTTTGCAAATATGAAGTGTTCAGTTTTCTCTTTTGCACCAGACCCGGCCTTCTCACTTTAAAAATAGATTGTTTTTGGTAAAATAGGTGCTTAGAAAATTAAGTTGTAGTACAGGAAGCCCCAAAGCTGCTATTATCCCCAAGATTTGACCACTCATACAATCAGGTAACATGGAGGTGTGCTTTTTTATATCTGGGAAAAGAAAAACAGATTAAGTAACTTCATTTAAGCCATCAGCATTCAAGGACCGTAAACTGAAATCACCTTTTGCACACCAGTGCATATTGCAAAAAAGTAGGCTCCTGCTTTTAGGGTACAAAAAACATAGTCATCATCACCATCATTATAATTTTAAAAAAGCTAGGCAGGTAACCACGGTGTACTCCACTCCATGAACTCCACCTAGTCTGAGACCATGGGTGTTATTCAGGGTTCATACAGTCTTAAAAAGTCCTTGAAAAGGCCTTGAATTCCATTTTTGCTAGAAAAGTCATTAAATTTCTGTGCAGGTCCTTGAAAAGTCCTTGAATTTTCTTCAACTTTGAATGCAGTGGTGTGGATTTGTGTTTTTTGTGCTTTTTGTTTGTCCAAAACAGAATTATTATAAATCATAGCTCAGAGAAGTTAAAGTAGACTTTCACGCTTTGCGCTCGAGAACATTTTGAGCTCGACTTGTTTGCAAGTCTAAAGGTGATTTACATAAAGTCTAAAGGTGATTTACATAAAGCGTTTTTTGTATTTTGAATAATTAACTATCAATTTAAGACTGGCAAGTGAACTGCAAACTTTAGAGAAAAATAGAATAGATACATGCAGAAAATTTCTGGCGTACTGTAGATATTCAAAATAACCAAAATGTCCATTTTTTCTGTTTCGGGACAGGTGAAATTGATGCCCTTCATCATTGTGCAACACTTCACTCCTGGAACTATCAATACTGGTACTCATTAGCCCTGGCGTATGAAAAACTATCTACAAGTTGCGTTAGGTGTTCAAATGAGAACTTTGGAAATGATGATCTTGGAAGCAAAAGTGTTGTATTGCAACAATGTTTAAAACAATGTTTAACATGTCAAAGAAACTGCAATGAAAAGTCTTTGAATGGTGAAAGCCTGCAAAATACTGATTTAACAGCAAAGTTGAATGGTTGTTGCATCACAAATAGCACAAATGGCAGGACTCAACCTTTTGTGTGTTCAAGTTCTGATGAAGAACACATTATGAATTCAGAGCCTGTAGTTATTGGCCAACATGGCACCTTACCTGGACACGTTAAATGCAAATCTTTCTCCAGTCAATCAGATGATCGAGTTCAGGGACAAACCAAAGAAAAATTGTCTTTCAATGGCATATGCTTAAATTCCAAGACAAACAATGTCACTTTGTCAACATTTGTCATAACTCAAGAAAATTGCTTTAATGTGGGTGAATACCACAAATACCAGGATGCCATGAAAGCACCAAGTGTTCAAAACAAAATACAATGGAGAAATCACATACTTTCTTTTGGTTGTCTCATAAAAGCAAGGTAAGTCAGAGGACTTCTCTCTCACAACTGGGAGCTGTGCCAAGCCAAACCATGCAGCATGACTTAATACTGAGACAAGATCTATTCTAACAACAATATTGAAACTATGGCACTATACTTCAAACACCAAAACAACTTTTAAACACTCAAGTTGATGATGAGCCTGCGGGCCCATATTTTCTTAAGAATCCAGTGGTAATTGCCAGATGTGGAAAACTGTTCTTGTTTCCAGTTGAGATCAACATAATAAGACACAAATGCCAGTTAACAAAGCAAAAAAAGACTGCTTTGTTAGCTTAAGGTCCTCAGTGCTTTTATCTTTCAGTATTTTGTTTTGGGCCATATCAGTCAATGGCAAATGGCAGTAAAACAACTGAATTTTAAACCAGCTTGTGACCTAAAGACCCCTCCCGGTACCCATACCTAGAGCTCCTCTGATCCTCTCAGCTGTTTTTTTACCAAGTTCTTTAACTACAATCAAACTCCACCCCTTATAAAGGACTGCTTCTTGAAAGTAATAAGAACTTCCTGTGAGTGCAGTCCCTCTAATACTTGCAAGTCACCAGAAAATGCAACTGACAACATTATCTTGGTTACCCATGTTGTGGTTCGATCATTAGTTTAATCACTGGTTTAAATTTATTTTCTTTTTTTGTCAACTCATTTTCATTGATTTTCATTAAGTAAACATACTTAAAATGAAGAAAATTTGACTTAATACCACGGATGAAATTGAGCCACAACACCTCTGACTGTAATGGAAGTGACCTTTTCATTTAGTGGACATCTGCATGAGATCTTGAGTTAAAGCTTTTTCATGGTACTTTCAACCCCCTCCCCCACCCCCAGACTTCAAAATTAATCTTATGCTGTTTCATATTTTTGTGCACATGTGCTAAGAAAAATCTAAACGTGGAAGGAGTTGGTAGCTGTTGAATTAACCTCAGTGCAGTTTAATCTCTTAAATGGTCAAATTTATTCATGACTTTAATTAAAAGAGTGTTCAGCCAATTAATGCTTATTATAGTTTCTTGTTCTGTTTCCCGTCAGATTCTTTCTTGAAAAAGCTGTTGAGTCATCTTCTTCATTTGCAAAAGACAAATGCAAAGCAATGCTGACAAAGGTTTGTTTATCTTATATATTATTGCTTTTAAAGAATGTTCAAACCATGCTCAGATCAGGCATGCATGACTCAGTCAGATACATTGTAGGCCAGAGAAAAACGTAAAAAATCTTGTACCACTACCTACCTATTCTTACGATCCTCATAGTTTTCGCAAAGGCTTTTTCCACAAAAATGAAGCCTCGGAAATGCCAGCAAAGAATAAGACAGGGAAAGAAAAGTGAAAAAGGCAGAGAGTGTCTTTTGTTTTCTCCAAAAAAATTTTGCCTTCCGCATACACCCGAACATTGAATGCTCAGTATATGGTTTGACGTCAGAAACAACTGAAACAAAAACCAGCGTAATGCTTGACTTGTAAACAACATCAGCCACATGAAGCTTCAAAAGGTTCAAAAGGGACAATACGAATAGTTTATAATAAGACACATTTACAAATACCTTTCTATAATTAAAAAAAGTATACCATTATTTTTAATTAACAGATGTTGCCATTTTTTAAGTGGAAATAAACTTAAAGTATTTTTTTGTTAGTCATTCGTTAGTTAAAAAGAAAACGGCAATTTATGTGCATGATTTGTAGTGATATTTGGCATAAATACCTATACTAATTTCCAGTGGACAAAAACCTTGTACCAGAATATTTTAAGTCATATTGCATTCTTTTTTACACTTTTCAATTCCTATAGATGTAGTTAGTTATCTGTAATAACACCAAAGACAATTTCTTATGGAAGCCAGGCAAAATAAATTTCAAATTTCACAGGAATTGAGAAAACACAAGTAAAATCATCATGCATAAGATTTCATTTTGTGAAATTTGAAGCTTTTGAAGTTTGTTTTCTTGGGCTCACATAAGAACCTTTTCTATGGAGTTATTTCACATAATTTATTACATTTATAGCCCTCAAAAAGTGTTAAAAAGAATGCAATTTGCTTAAATTTATTCCGGTACGGGGTTTTTGTCCACTGAAAATAAAAATTACTTAATTTCCTTATGGATTGCGTGTTAATTCCTTTTTTTGTTTTATTTGGCAGTCTCCTATTCTTTTTTGTCTGATGCTTCGTTCCTTCACAAGCAGAACAAATGAAAAAATTTCCTCCAAGTACGATAATTGCCGATTATTTCTCTATTTCAGTTCAACTGAAAACTATTGTTTATTTGTTGTTCACTTATTTACTAGGTGAAAGATAAGACTTCCACCCACACTGACTGTGGTTGTGCTGATTTAAAAGATAAAGTTTTAGAGGTAATATCATCAGTGTTTGCAAGTAAAGCTCACTTGAAAATTCTTTTCTATTAATGCTCTAATTGTTCTGATACGGTTTAATTTCTGCAGTAAGAAAACTGTGAATTGCCATCCGGGGTATAAAAATAGTTACAATTTGTTTCCATTTAGCCACTGGAGTCCTTCCCGGCTTGCAAAGCTTTTCTATACCGAATTCCTGCAAACGAATTCCTAGAGTGGGAACGTTCAATTTAAGAACGCTACCGAGCTGTATGTTTCTTTGATGCTGTTTATATTGCTGTGTAATTTGATGGTCTGGAGAGAATCAACGGAGGTGAACTATAAAGTGGTGGTAATATGTCGCATGTGAAATATGTTACGTATCAGTAAAATAGCTTTGGTAAAGTCAAATTTCTTAGATGATGTTGAAACAACTATGTAAGCTTTATACGAGCAAGTGTTAGTTAAGCAGTCGGTCGAAGCGACAATGACTGTTTCATGAAGAGTTCAAGCCGTAATCAGGTTCCTCCAGGTCGTTCTGTCCTTTGCTCGCTGCCTCCAAGAATCTACTAAAATGTTCTACCGCTTCATGTTTCTTTTCACGACCAAATGTAGTGAAGGAGTATTAGTAAGGAGTGGACAATTGATCCATTTGATCGATCTGTCTGTGTGCTGTAACTTTTCTTTACCTATTAATTTACATGTGTTTGCGATCAGTTTATGGAAAAAAAAACGTAATGCGGACAAGTATGAAACGCGGAGTAAGAGACTCAGTTACTCGCAAGCTCTAAAGTGAGAGACCGTCTTAGTTTGAAGCCCCTGAGAAGCACATGTATTTAATCAACTGATCAAGAAGATAGATAAGAACCACCTCATACCGCTTAAAAAGTATTCTCCGTTTTCACATGACGTCACCAAAATTCAAACTAAGAAACTATCCCTTCTTCTGAGTTTCTACTTTCATGTGATATTAGAGCACCTTATAACCTTCATACAAATAAATTTTCGGTTCAAACGGGTTCTTTGTTTCGCGACATAGGACGCTTGAATTTCCAGGCTTTTGCGTGACGCGGCATTTAGCTGGCGGCCGGGAAAGCTCTTATGTGGGTTAAAAACATTACGGACTTTTGGAGATTTTGCTATGTAAACATTCCTTGTCTTAGGATAAATATTACTTTAATCTTTATGAGTTCCTCAAGCGAAGAATTCACGCATAAGTAGGAAAACTCAAAAACAGATGTTCCTGTTGGTTTCCGGCGGCCATATTTGTGCCCCTGAAAAGGACACAAACATGGCGTCTCCATACAAAGATTTATAAATTTGGGTAAAACGTTTTTCCGAATATCTCGCATATGAACTATTTCATAGACCTGATTCTTGGCAAGGCTTTTTGTATATTTATCTTCTTTCATTTCCCAGATTCTAGACTTTCTGTATTAAAAGGTTTCCATTTTTATTTCTGCTTTCTCACGTGAGTGAAAACCGAGAATAGGGNCCTTGTCTTAGGATAAATATTACTTTAATCTTTATGAGTTCCTCAAGCGAAGAATTCACGCATAAGTAGGAAAACTCAAAAACAGATGTTCCTGTTGGTTTCCGGCGGCCATATTTGTGCCCCTGAAAAGGACACAAACATGGCGTCTCCATACAAAGATTTATAAATTTGGGTAAAACGTTTTTCCGAATATCTCGCATATGAACTATTTCATAGACCTGATTCTTGGCAAGGCTTTTTGTATATTTATCTTCTTTCATTTCCCAGATTCTAGACTTTCTGTATTAAAAGGTTTCCATTTTTATTTCTGCTTTCTCACGTGAGTGAAAACCGAGAATAGGGTGGTTATAACTCTATATGGCCAGTGGATGAAATACCGTGAAAATGTTACGCTTTGAATTACAGAATAATTCAAAGTAAATTACGTTTTTTAAAACATTCAGTATCTTGGACTTTTTTTTTCAAGTGCAGTTTTGTAAATTTTTTAAAGGTTATTTTGTCTTTTTTTCTTCAGATGCTGTACACTTCGTTTATTGCTAATGAGCCAGAAGTATCTGACCTCGGTGGTCAAGATAAAGCAAGAACTGAGGTAATTACTGTACATAATGATATTTAATGGTGGTACGTGAAATCAGAAATCATGTTTTGACAGTGGATGTAAAATCAAAAGACCGAGATATGTCACGCTATTTAGTCATCAAGAACCGTGGCCACTCGAGTTAAATGAATCATGAAAATAGTTGCTTCGAGCAGTGAAGAAATACTTGATAAACACGGCAAATACGAAAAAAAGGCGGATGGCCAAAACATGGGCCATAATCCCTTTTTCTTTTTCTTTTGATTGAAAGCGTTTTCTCGGATTATTTTCTCTATTCTTTTCAGAGCGTCTAGTCACTAAATTGAAGACAAAAAGAATTAAACTGAATTGCTTTGTATGCTTTCATATTTGAATTCCAATTTTGCACTAACCCTGGGTTATCTTAACCTTTCTTTGAACAACTCGGCCGTCTATAGCCTGTGGACACAGACGTATTTCCGGTCGCTTCTGTCCACCCGAAAAGTTAGGATTTAAGCTAAGTTCCCCATGTTTCTTCTTTTTAGAGTTAACAAAAATGTTTTCGATTTCAGCACACTCCTGCCTAATTATCAGTAAGAGAAGATTTGCAGGGGACTCAAATATATTTTTTTTCTCCTCAGGACTGTAAACTGCGAGAAAATTCAGCCCCCGATGGCGAGGTCACTTTCAGTTTTGAACAGAAGTGGTTTAGTAATTTACTGTCTTACATGCTGAGTGAAAAAAGCTAACGCTTTCTCCAGTGACAGCGAAATTTTATTTTTCTTTTTGTTTCACATTGATCTCTTAACACCTAGGAATAGTAATGGTCGCTTTGTAATACAACAGTGCTATCTAACAAAGGTGAATAAAATCAAATATAATATTTTTCAAGCTCTTTAGTGCTAACAACAGTGTAGGTTATACTGAAACAATCATGTTTTTTTGTTAACTCATTTTTATTTATTTTCAATAAAATTAAAAAAAAAAAAAATTTGAATTAATACCCAGGAGTGAAACTGGGCCCCAACCCCTCTTACTGTAATGGGAGTGACCTTTTTATTTAGAGGACATGTGCATGAGATCTTGAGTTAAAACTTTTACATGGTACTTTAAGCCCCCCCCCCCCCTCTCCCCCCCTCACCCCCAGACTTCAAATCTTATGCCATTTCATGTTTTTGTGCACATGTGCTAAGAAAAATCTGGACGTGAAGGAGTTGGTAGCTATTGAATTAACCTCAGCGCAGTTTAATCTCTTAAATGGTCAAATTTATTGATGACTTTAATTAAAAGAGTGTTCAGCCAATAATGCTTATTATAGTCTCTTGTTCTGTTTCCTGTCAGATTCTTTCTTGAAAAAGCTGTTGAGTCATCTTCTTCATTTGCAAAAGACAAATGCAAAGCAATGCTGACAAAGGTTTGTTTATCTTAGCTATTATTGCTTTTAAGAATGTTCAAACCATGCTCAGATCAGGCATGTATGACTCAGTCAGAAACAATGTAGGCCAGAGAAAAACGTAAAATCAATCATGTTACTTTAACTATAAATTTCAAATAAAAGATCTTGTACTACCACTACCTATACCTATACTTACGATCCTCATGGTTTTGTGAAAAAGGCTTTTTTCACAAAAATGAAGCCTCAGAAATGCCAGCAAAAGAATAAGATGGGGAAAGAAAAGTGAAAAAAGCATAGAGTGTCTTTTGTTTTCTCAAAAAAATTTTGCCTTCTGCATACACCCACATTGAATGCTCAGTATGGTTTGACGTCAGAAACAACTGAAACAAAAACCAGCGTAGTGCTTGACTTATAAGCAACATCAGCCACATGAAGCTTCGAAAGGTTCTCTGGGACAATGCAAATAGTTTATAATAAGAAACATTTACAAATATCTTTCTATAATTAAGAAAAGTATACCGTTATTTTTTACACAGATGTTGCCATTTTTTAAGTGGAAATAATCTTTGTTTGTTTTGCTAGTTATTCGTAAGTTAAAAGAAAACGGCAATTTATTTCCATTATTTGTAGTGATATTTGGCATAAATACCACTAGTGATCTCGAAATTGTTATACATAACAGCTCGTGAAATTTGAGACAATTTTGAAATATCACAAGTGGTATTTATGCCAAATAGCACGTGCAAATCATGCTATTATTTGTTTATGCTACTACCCACAAAAGGTTTGTAATTTTCACATGTAGGTATTTCAAATGTAGCTGAAATACCACTGCTCTAAGCCAATCAAATTGCAGAAATTTCTCATGTATCAGTATAATAAGATGGAATCCATCAGGAACTTGAGTAATTGTTTTATTTTAGGGGAGAAAAACCTTGCACCAGAATATTTTAAGCCATATCGCATTCTTTTTTACACTTTTCAGTGCCTATAGATGTAATTAGTTATCTGTAATAACACCAAAGACAATTTCTTATGAGAGCCAGGGAAAATAAATTTCAAATTTCACAGGAATTGAGAAAACACAGGTTAAAGCTTCATGCGTGAGATTTTGTTTTGAGAAATTTGAAGCTTTTGAAGTTTGTTTTCTTGGGCTCCCATAAGAACCTTTTCTTTGGAGTTAGTTCACATAATTTAAATAATAAATTTATTCTGGTACAGGGTTTTTATCCACTGAAAATTAAAATTACTCAATTTCCTTATGGATTCCGTGTTAATTTCTTTTTTTGTTTTATTTGGTAGTCTCCTATTTTTTTTTTGTCTGATGCTTTGTTCTTTCACAAGCAGAACAAATGAAAAAATTTTCTCCAAGTACGATATTGCCGATTATTTCTCCATTTCAGTTCAACTGAAAACTGTTGTTTATTTGTTGTTCACTTATTTACTAGGTGAATGATAAGATTTCCACCCACACTGATTGTGGTTGTGCTGATTTAAAAGATAAAGTTTTAGAGGTAACATTATCAGTGTTTGCAAGTAAAGCTCACCTAAAAATTCTTTTCTATCAATGCTCTAACTGTTCTGATACGGTTTAATTTCTGCCGTAAGAAAACTGCGAATTGCCATCCGGAGTAAAAAAATAGTTACAATTTGTTTCCATTTAGCCACTGGAGTCCTTCCCGGCTTGCAAAGCATTTCTAACGAATCCCTGTGAACGAATTCCTACAGTGGGAACGTTCAATTTAAGAACGCTACCGAGCAGTATTTTTCTTTGATGCTGTTTATATTGCTGTAAAATTTGGTGGTCTGGAGAGGGTCGACGGAGGTGAACTATAAAGTGGTAGTAATATGTCACATGTAAAATATGTTACGTATCAGTAAAATACCTTTCAGGGGCACCCAACGACAATTTTCGGAAAATATCTGTTCGGAAGACGATTTGAGATCTAGAATTTTCGGAACATTTGTTGTAAAATTTCTTGCTTGCCTGCCTCTCCTAGGATTTTCGAACATCTAAAANCCTTCCCGGCTTGCAAAGCATTTCTAACGAATCCCTGTGAACGAATTCCTACAGTGGGAACGTTCAATTTAAGAACGCTACCGAGCAGTATTTTTCTTTGATGCTGTTTATATTGCTGTAAAATTTGGTGGTCTGGAGAGGGTCGACGGAGGTGAACTATAAAGTGGTAGTAATATGTCACATGTAAAATATGTTACGTATCAGTAAAATACCTTTCAGGGGCACCCAACGACAATTTTCGGAAAATATCTGTTCGGAAGACGATTTGAGATCTAGAATTTTCGGAACATTTGTTGTAAAATTTCTTGCTTGCCTGCCTCTCCTAGGATTTTCGAACATCTAAAAACTACTATAATTGCCCATTCATTAACGGATTTTTACCTTTAAAACGTCACCTAGAATTTTCGGGAGCCTTTTTTCTACCTGAAATTTTCGAAAAGGTAACTTTTGATCCCTATAATTTTCGGATCACTAGACTTTCAGCTAGGAAATCCGAACAGGTGAAAAATTTTTAGGGGATAAAAATATGCCTATATCTACCGTTTAAATACTAAAGTAAGTTTGACAATGCTATGTTTAAGTGGTTTTGAACTATATTCTCGTTGGGTGCCCCTGACCTTTGGTAAAGTCAAATTTCTTAGATGATGTTGAAACAACTATGTCAGCTTTAAACGAGCAAATGTTAGTTAAGCAGTTGGTAGAAGCGACCATGACTGTTTCATGAAGAGTTCAAGCCGTAATCAGGTTCCTCCAGGTCGTTCTGTCCTTTGCTCGCAGCCTCCAAGAATCTACTAAAATGTTCTACCGCTTCAGGTTTCTTTTCACGAGCAAATGTAGTGAAAGAGTATTAGTAAGGAGTGGACAATTGATCCATTTGATCGATCTGTCTGTGTGCTGTAACTTTTCTTTACCTATTAATTTACATGTGTTTGCGATCAGTTTACGGAAAAAATGCGGACAAGTATGAAACACGGAGTAAGAGAGTCAGTTACTCGCAAGCTCTAAAGTGAGAGACCGTCTTAGTTTGAAGCCCCTGAGAAGCACATGTATTTAATCAACTGACCAAGAAGATAGATAAGAACCACGTCGTACCACATAAACAGTATAGGGTGGTTCTAACTCTATATGGCCTGTGGATAAAATACCGTGAAAATGTTACGCTTTGAATTACAGAATAATTCAAAGTAAATTACTTTTTTAAAAAAAATTCAGTATCTTGGACTTTTATTTTCAAGTGTAGTTTTGAAAAATTTAAAGGTTATTTTGTCTTTTTTTCTTCAGATGCTTTACACTTCGTTTATTGCTAATGAGCCAGAAGTATCTGACCTCAGTGGTCAAGATAAAGCAAGAACTAAGGTGATTACTGTACATAATGATATTTAAGGGTGGTACGTGAAATCAGAAATTATGTTTTGACAGCGGATGTAAAATCAAAAGACCGAGATATGTCACGCTATTTAGTCATCAAGAACCGTGGCCACTCGAGTTAAATGAATCATCAAAATAGTCGCTTCGAGCGGTGAAGAAATACTTGATAAACACGGGAAAGACGAGAAAAAGATGCGGATGGCCGAAACATGGGCCATTATCCCTGTTTCTTTTTCTTTTGATTAAAAGCATTTTTTCGGATTATTTTCTCTATTCTTTTCAGCGCATCCAGTCACTAAATTGAAGACAAAAAGAATTAACTGAGTTTGCTTTGTATGCTTTTATATTTGAATTCCAATTTTGCACTAACCCTGGGTTATCTTAACCCTGCTTTGAACAACTCGGCCCTCTATAGCCTGTGGACACAGACGTATTTCCGGTCGCTTCTCTCCACCCGAAAAGTTAGAATTTAAGCTAAGTTCCCCATGTTTTTTTCTTTTTAGAGTTAACGAAAGTGTTTTCGATTTCAGTACAGTCCTGCTTAAACTTGAGGGTAAAATTCTGCCCAATTATCAGTAAGAGAAGGTTTGCAGATGACTGAAATATGTTTTGTTTCTTCTCAGGACTGTAAACTGCGAGAAAATTCAGCCCCCGATGGCGAGGTCACTTTCAATTTTGAACAGAAGTGGTTTAGTAATTTACTGTCTTACAGGCTGAGTGAAAAAAGCTAACACTTACTCCAGTGACAGCGAAATTTTCCTTTTCTTTTTGTTTCACATTGATCTCTTGTGGATCCTTATCATTACCAGCGAAACATTATGTTGTCACGATAGATTGTTTCCACTTATTTTAGTTTATATTATAAAAAGTTCGAGAAATCACGATTGTTGTCACATCCAATATGACTTTGTTAGTACTGTAAGTTTGTTAAGTTTGTTGATTTTTCTATAGGAATAGACCTTTGTTACGCGAAGGCCAGTTTTTTTTAAAACATATTTTAATATATGTTTGCCCTAAGACTCACTGAAGAACTCATCGTGAGGGCTTACACCTACACTTAACAT